ACCAAGGCAGCGAGGTTTCTGAAGACACTTGAGGTACATTCCGTACTCTACGATCAAAGAAAAGTTCGTTTTTAAAAAGGAATTTTTGTATTTATAAAGGTTTCATGGACGTTTTCCTTTATTTTGACATCGGCGTGAAAGAAAAACCACAGAATGTGCATTTGAAATTGATTTTTTTACCATGTGCTCGACCTATTTACTTGCGTGAACGCAACGATTTAACTTGTCTTACGCGAATTGCTTTTTAGGATTAACGTATCGGTTTTTGAATAAAAATTTCAAGAAATTAAGTTATTTATCTGTTATTGTTTATTCATAACATTAGCTCAAAAAACGACCATGAGACTACAGATCGTGAGATTTTTAGAACATTCAGACGGGCCCTTTCTTGAACTAAAAATGAAGTGTTGTTTTTGTACACGTTCCGCATTGAATTGCTATTCGTTTTCTCATTCATCACTTGCAAGAATTTTTGCAGTTTGTAGAATTCAAGGATGTGTGCAGTTTTTCAGTGTGTAGTGTGCTGCTCTTTTTCCATAACCTGTGCCCTGAATACAGCTGAATACCGCTTGAATTTTGTGTTTGCGTTTGTTTTCAGTTGTTTGTTTACGGCTTTATACTGTCACTGAAAAAGTGTAATGAGCGTATCTAAAAAATGAAAGAGTTCTCCTCTATTCTAAAACGGACAGACTCGTCGGCTTTTCGAGTCCGAGTTTGTCTTTTTTTTTAATAAAAAAAGTTGTAAGTTCTTGCTGTATTAACGTTTATATTTGTAGTGAAATATTGGATTATTGTTATTAGCAGCGAGAAAGGTTATCGTTTGCTGTCCTATGTCTGTCCTCAGAGAAAATATTATATACCTTACGGTAAAATTTTCTTTCAGATATTGTGAGGTATAAATGTAAAGGCTACACATAACTGTTCGTCCGGGTCCGTTGAAAAAAAAAAATTCTTTCAGATATTGTGAGGTATAAATGTAAAGGCTACACATAACTGTTCGTCCGCGCCCGTTAAAAAAAAAAAAGAAAAGAAAAGAAAAGAAAATGTAATGGGCTTACGTGCGGACAAAAGTCCTTAAGTCGGCGTGATTTTTCTTTTAGGTCTTCCCTTAAACACAGAAACACCGACCCTAGAAATGGTAACCTGTAAATTGCTGCTACTTAAGAGACCTATAATTTAACAATTTTTTCAATTCAGGTTTGTTTGTGGGATATTTTTTCTTAGTATACATACTAAAACAGTGGATAGTGTTTTTCGCGCGCTCTGATTGGCTACTAAATCAGTGAATATCCTGCACTATTCACTGATTCACCTTCAGTTCCTCGGAGCGAGCGACGCCAAACTCTTGTAAGTTGCAAGCAAAATGCCTTCCCGGTTTGCTACCGTAAACAAACAAAGAAATTTTACAACTAATCAAGCAAGCTGTTTCCGAAATACACGAAGAAGCTGACGAAGTTCGGATTGGAAGTTTTAACAGGTAAAGCTTTGTCTTTTTGACACGAATTTATCGATAAAACCGGTGAAAAAGTTTTTTGTTTACAAATGCAAATGAAGCTTAAGACTTGCTTACTTATTTAGTTGAGTTGTTCATAAATAAGCTTAAAACTAAATTTAATAATCTTTTTTTATAGAATGATTTTAAATACAAAAAGAATTCACAACTCCTTTTGAAGAAATTTCCCCGCAAGAGCTAAAAAAATGCCTTCAAAAGTAGGACTAGCCACCTCCACTTCGGTGAATAATTGTTATATATTATTCTAATAACATCAGAGGGATGTTTTAAGTCACTCCTGAACTCAGTCCTCAGTAAGGTACTGATAAGAAAGTTGGTTTGTGAATGCTTATTTGTATATCATAGCCGAAGATAATAACATAACTAGAACATTCGTCTAATCCAATCAGCAGCCCAGCCTCTGTTGCCCCAAGTAATGGCAAATTACTTTTCAGTAGCCTTTCTTAATCAACAGGGAATACGTTGTGTGTTCGCTAAACTAACCACAGCAGCGCGCTTTTCTGTCTGTTCCAGGTAAACCAATCAAATTCGGAAGCTCCAGGAGATGCTCCTGATTATTGTCCATTTGTTATTTCGGATTTTTACGTGCGTGATCAATTAAGGGCCAAACAAAAATCTCTCTACTATGTTTTAAACACACAGTCAGTTGCAAACACTCAGAATTTCCATTTGTTCAAATTAAACGCCGTTTTGATAATATTATAAAGCAACTGTTTCGTGCGTCAGCATGAAAGTAGTCTATCATTATCATTATTACTTAACGAGTAGCTTTTTGTCTTGATTAAGAGCGGTTGTATTATCGTTGCGGACCTTAAATTAATTTTAATATCTCAACTTTTTTTTTTCGAACTGTTAGAACTCAGTATTGTAAAGTTATATGGACCACCCCCTTTCAGAAATCACTAGAAATCAATAGCCCCACTAGTTTAGTTTAGTGATTCATCATTTCTTTGGTAGAAACAAAATCGATACTTTACCGACTTTATATTATAATTACTTATAACGTTTAGGTTTATTTGAAGATTTTGAGAGGATGTTAATTGTGCACTGTAACAGATGTTTTCGTTCGTTTTAATGGGGCTTTTGTATCTACTGTAATGCTTACCAACAAAGCTTGTTCAGGGGAGGTAACACTAGTACCTTGACATTTCCATTTTGTCGATAATAATAAAGCCCACTGCTAGCAACACGTCTGTAACGAAGGAAATATCTGGTAACCCAAAAATCGAATTCCTGCTTTCCTTGAGTAGCAACTTTGCCAACACTGGCCACAAAGCCGAAATCAACTTGAAGCCATTCGTAAAAATTAGGTCCGCGATATTGACACCATCCTCCTGTAAAACCAGTTACAGAGTCCGGTAGAGCCATGTGAAGTCTTGCTCTTCGTGGAGCCGATCTTGCTCGGTAGTATGATGAAGCAGTTATGGACGAATCAGGAATTTGCCCATTTTGCATTCCAAGAGAATCTAAACAACCCGGAAGTAAGGGTGGGAGTAACTCTAGAAGGGAATACGAAACACAAATGAAAACGTCTCATAATTTTGGGAGCTAGATTCTCAAAGCCACATTCATTTGTAGTTTTTCAGCTGTGACTGAAATGCATATTTCCTGGATTCTGAGATTCGTCAGAGGATCTACTTTGTGCTTTTTTTCAGATATTTACCTTGATGTGGAATCCAAGGTATTTCATTGCACACTTGTTCACTGAAGGACACGTCGTCAAAGTCAATCGAAGTTCCTGAGCTAATGCCTTCAATTGTTACCTGTTAAACAACATAATTCAACGTGCATGCGAATACAGCCGTCTTTTATATTTCCCTCCGCTAGAGAATTTGAAGAGAGAGACACTCTATCGTGCGAAACGTCCCTTGAGAAGACTTTGCTTTCGTCGCTCGTTTATGCGACTTCATCGCTCAAAAAGTCGACTTTTGGACAAGTCTACTTTCCTAGCGGTGGGAAGGATACAAGGCGGCAGTATTCGAAGTTTAGTTACTTTAAAAGACGTACAAATAAAAAACACTGAAAACACATGACGCAAAAAAATTTGTTTTATGAACAAAACCTGAGGCTTTATTTCTGTTTCTGTAAATTCGAGAGTTCGCTAAAAATAATTTGTGAATAAAACGCCTGGTTGCACTATCAAGGCATCACTCGGAATTCCGATCCCTTTAATGGGTCATTTTACAAAAACCACCAAACTTAGCTATCCCCATGAGGTTTGAATAAAGACAACCATAATTTGTTCGTAACCCCCAACGCCCACCCCCCCCCACCAAAAAAAAAAAAAAATAAAACAATCCCTTTACAATCATCGTCTTTTCTTTATATACTCTTATATAATTTTTACTTATCTCTAAATTTACTATTATTATTTATTATATTTGTTTTTTTAAATTTGAGAATTTTCAAAAAATAGTTTGTGAATAAAACGCCTGGTTGCACTCTAAAGGCACCACTCGATATTTCCTTCCCTTTAGTGGGTCTTTTTACAAAAACAACCAAACTTATCAACCCCCAAGAGGTTTGAATAAAAAAAACCAGAATTTTTTCGTAACCCCCACCACCCCCCCCCCCCCCCAAAAAAAAAAAAAATTAAATTAAATAGACTCTTCAAGCATTCTGTTGTTTCTTGAAAATGGTCTACTAAATTTGTCAATACATGAAGAATACATTGTTATCATAATTACCCTTGCTGTTGCGTTCGTGGTGATTGGCAATTGCACAAAGTTCCATTTTTTGGTATGGAGTGCGGATTTCCACAGCTGTCTAGTAGTATTTGAGCTATGAATTGAAGCTTTAATTTCTGCTTGGTGGCTCATACCGATTCTGTACCAAAAGCGCATACACTTCCAATCCTTACCACTGAATAAGGGAGATATAACTGTCTTTCCCTGTGCATTTTTGTCTGTTTTAAGGCTCAGGTAGCCTCCTGAGAAGAGAATCGTTTTTAAGTTAAAAATTGAAGTGTTTTACATTTTGTGCACATATCTCTTTTTTTTCTGATTACTGCAAGTTGTTTCAGCAATTTGCTCAATACCCTAAAATATTTCAACTTTTACGGTTTTTTTGCTAATACCTGTTTTTTCTATTACTTTATATTCTTTTTGCTGCCATTGACCATCGACCTGCCAGTTGCACAAGTTGTCGTCAAAGTAGCAGTGGGGACTCTCTGTTAATGAAACGATTAAATAATTGTATCGAATTCTAACTATTAAAATATCTTACATGGAAAGTAGGAAAGTAATGATGTGCCTGTAAAACTGACATACTAATCGTTTATTTATTTATGTTATTATATAGACACCGATGAAATACCAGGATTTTTCCAGTGACGAAAATTTGGTATCTAGTGAAGATACAATTTTCATCTTTCACATGTGAAGATATCACGGTTGTCATGACTACTTTAGTCTCAGCCAATAGGAAATTACCATCACAGCATCGCGCTTTTACCTTTATCACACACAACATCATCTTGAAAACTAAGATGGCATTTTCAGATCAACTACCAAATTTCGAGATAAAGATTTTCGACGATGAGCAAAACGAAAGGATTGATGGAAGGTTTGTTCCGATGACAGATAGCAAAGTTGATAATTTGATCGAAACGGAGGAAAATGCCACCGCAAAGAGAAAGACACTGTACAACATAAATTTTGTCAAGCAGTTTCTAACAGAACACGGCGAGAGGAAAAGCATTGAAGAGATTCCAGCGGTTAAACTTAACAACTACGTAAGCAAATTCAAAGTCGCTGCAAGAACAAAAAAAGGCGAAGAGTACGAATCTTCTTCACTTGGAGGAATTTTGTCGAGTGTTGAGCGCCAATTACGTCGCGCCGGTTATTATCAAAGACAACGATTTTCAAAAGACACGAGATACCCTTAAAGCAAAACAGAAAGAACTGAAGCGATAAGGGAAGGGCAATAAACCCAAAGCAATCACAGCTTTAAGCGACGAAGACATCGATATTCTTTATGGCAAGAAGGTGCTTGGATTAGCTCTCCACAAGCTCTTGTAAACACTGTTTGGTTGAACAACGTGCTACATTTCGGTTTACGTGGATGCAAAGAGCAGAGAGAACTGCGATGGGGAGACGTCGTTCTTAAATCAGATAGTGAAGGAAGACAATACCTTGAGTACTCTGTTGAACGGCAAACGAAGACTAGAGCTGGAGGAAGCCCGAGGTATCAACGTCAAGTGAAGCCGCGTATGTATCAAAACAAAACCACCGAGTCCACTGAACGAGCCCCGCTCAGGTTTACAAAGCCTACAAAGACAAGCGTCCAGGAAACATGTTGAAGCCAGACTCAACGTTCTACTTGGCAGTAAATTACTTCATCAAGAGTGAAGGCGAATTAAAGTCAGAAGGCTCAAAATGGTTTAAATCTCAGCCAATGGGCGTTAACAAGCTCAACAGCTTGATGAAAGAAATGACCGAAACGGCGGGAATCTCTGTGAAAACAAATCGCAGTGGAGGGGAAACACTAGTTCAAAAATTACAAGATAATGATGTGCCACCGAATCAGATCGTTCAAATAACTGGCCATAAAAATCTACTATCAATTAATAATTACAGCTCGTTAAGAGAAAGACAAATCAAGAACATTTCGAAAATTTGGTCATCCTCATCATCAACAATAAATGCCGTACTGCCAGCAGTGCAACAGAGTCTAAAAAGTCATTTTACTGAGGCACATTCATCGACTTCAGCTGCTGAAAGCACATTCCAAACAATGTTTCAAGGAAATTATATCACTGGAGGTGTTTTCAATATCAATCTGGCAGCGACTAAAAATACAATCACAAGTCCAGAAGTGGGGCCGAAAGCGAAAAAAAAAGAGATCTATAATTGAAAGTAATAGCAGCGGTGGAAGCCAAGAGTAAACTGGTGCTCACAGAACTTGAAGGTGACTCTGAATAATTCAGGTCATTTAATATTGTGTATTTTCATGTTCAAGCACATAATAAAGTGAGAAAACTGCAAAAAAAAAAAAGTTAACACACCATACCTCGGCAACTAAAACAATTATCTTGAACTTTTTGGTACACGTTAATATTTTTGAAATTTTGCTCATATATTTATCCACGGCACATGAACTAGGCGTTTTCTCCATTGCCCTGATTTTTTTGGTAAATTCTTTACACGTTTCAAAGGACAATTACGCAGTGTTTTTTAATGAAATTTCGTATTGTCTTATTGCTGTAACATTCAGAATACAGATATACCCTACTTATTTTCTCTAATTCAGACTCAAATTAAAATTGTGCGTAAGATCTAAGTTTGATTACATGTAGATTGATTCAACGAATAAAAGATTAGACCAAGAAATAGTTGTCCTAGTATTTCATCGATGTCTATATAATAAACAAAATATTACATGTCCGTTTGTGGATACAAGTTTTAATCTTCTCGTGTTCAAGTCGATATCTCACTCGTTCGCTGGGCTCGTTCGTGAGATATCGACTTGAACACTCGAAGATAAAATTCCACGTACGGTCATGTAATACGGTCATGGTCTTGTAATGTCCTCTTTTCTTTTCACATTTTTACAAGAATTTATTGACAAAATTGGGGAACTTAAAAAGGTGAAAGTGATGAAAACGAAAGAGACAACGGAAAGGAAATATTGGTTAAATGACTGTAATAACTGGATTTGCTCTATGAAAAAAAAGGATATTTGGAGCATGCTATACGGTTAGCTAGGATAATGCATCCTCAAAATAAAAATGCACATTTTTTGAGAGCAAGAAGCAGAATATTTTGATGTTTTGACCGATCTTACTTTTACCTTTCAATATTAAGTTAAGACAGATCTTAAGAGTTGATTACAGTTAGTTTACACTGAGGTATTGAATCTCAATGTTGCAACGATTTTAAACATTTACGGTATTTTGTGATAATAGGGCAGGCTTCCTCCAGCACCGTAATGTCATCCACAGCTATATCTCCTTCATTTCCTTCTAAGGTAATGCCCTCCAGAATAAACTATAGGGAAAAAGGAAAAATGAACATTTATATTGGGCTAGGCGTACATGCTATTAGTACTGGAGTAGTAGTATGATTGTTACCTTGAAAAGGTGTGAGGCTTGAAGGGTGGTCTGTGCAAACATCCATTGATCTCCTTTGTTTCCTGACTGACTCCAAAACAGCTTTTCTGTGCCATTACTTGCAATGTAAACATTTAGTTGCCCTATATGTTTACCAAACATGTGATACCAAAACTGAAGGCAGAATGTTCTATTTATTTCCATCCATTCACTCATCAGTCGCGCGCGATCTCCACTTTGACGTTTAGAGGCTTCTATATAAATGTAAGCACCTATTTAAAGACAAATTGAAACCAACTGGTGATAATTTTGTAAAGACGCAAAAAACGCTGGTAAGGAATACCTTTACGAGCACGTATTTCGTTGATTATTTGCTATTTATGCCGTGATACGAGTTCTAAACTGAAACCTACCAAGGTTGAAAATATAAATCCGAAATCTCGTTAAAGAGAACAGCGATCAGTTTTTTAAAGGAATAAATAAAGGAGCTCCATTCAATTAAGTTGAAGAATAGCTTCAGCTGTTCGAAGTCGCAGGCTAAGTACCCAGCTATTCGAAACCTCGCCCCGTGACGTGTTACAAATATGATGACACACGTTCTCGATTGACTAGCAGGATCATTGATATTATCCTTCAATGGATCAATGAAAAACCTGGTGGTTGAATTTCTACGTTTTTCCTCGCGAAGCGAGGGACGAAGGCCCGTGCGTCAACGAAGTTTATAATTTTGTCGGAATTTGAATCGCGAGAGGAACGTGCGTGGAACACCTACCTAGGTGAAAACTAGAGTTGGCTATATTTCTATCGGTTGATGTCCACAGTTACCTAGCAACAAAGCCGCGAGCATACAAAACCACAGCAACCAACCCGTTTGGTTCTGTGGTAGTTTTAATTTAGCGGTCAAGAAATGGTTTTGGCGTTACATTTCAAAGGCAGAAGTACTAGTCACACCTTTCTCAGAGTAAGTAGTGTGGTCGTGCTTTGGGCCTGTCTCTGCTGATGGAGTAAAGCCTGAATGCAGACTCCATCTAAAACTGTCGGCACTATTGTCGTGCTTAAGTCCACAAAAGCCGTTTTCAAAAGTGCACTGACCTGATAAGAAACAAAATTGATAATCAACAACATTATTCTATATAATACAATAGGGAAAAAATACTTTAGATCGTTCTGGAAGCAAAAAGGGTATTTATTCTAATTTTTACCGGACTTTCCCAGAGCGCCACCTCTAAGTGGCTGTGGGAGGGTAACTCAATTAAAAGCATGAAGTATGTTGAAAAGTAAAAAAACCATACCCTTAAAGTATTTGTGGCAGTCACCCACTGACGCTTTTTCCTCACAGTTGAGATGATTCAGGGGACATTTCTTTCTTCCTGCCGGGTCAAAATGAAAGTGAATAAAATATTCTCCTATCCTTTTTAGAAGCATATTATTGCCGTAGGATACATTGCCGTAAACGTGATGCTCTACAACTTTAATAGATGATGGTAATACTTCACCACTGTAATAGATAATGGTGATGCTTTAGCCTCCTATATATGGGTGGTAACTATCAACTTCTGGTTGTGGAAAGAGAGCATTTTGCATCAAAGTAGTAATTAGCTCCTTACCACAAGTTGCTGGAACATGGGAGTCATCTTGGCAAACTAGTTTGTTTTCATTACTGCAAGTTGAGGACCAAGGAATACATGTGCCGTCTGCACATTGAAACATGTCATTATGAGGACACGAGGTTCCTACAATGTAATGTCGTTTTTATTAGATTATCTCAGCAAACTCGACGCTTGCCTATAGTATGAACAGAGTACAACGACAGTGAAGAAGTAACTTTAACATCCAATATCTCTTATTGGACAGTATCGGATAGTATCGTAGGATATTTTTACGAGTCACCCTGTATTTTGGCGAGCCCGTAGGGCGAGTCAAAATGCAACAGACGAATAAAAACATCCCATGATACTACACACTAAACCGTCAAGAAAGAAATTTATTATTCAACTCGAGGAGTATAAAATAAAACTCAGTGAATATGCACGCTTGCCCGACCTACTTAAGACCAGAACGCGTAACAGCCTAACACCAGTCGAGTTTTTGCGTGCTTTCATCAACGCTATTTCTGATTGGTAAGAAAAGGAAAAATTTTTCCACAAGTTTTAAACTTTTGCTAGAAAAATACTGAGAGATGGAATGACAAATAATCGTGAGGCTTATGATGGTAATCGGTTATGCAAAACGGACTGCAAGTAGGAAAACTGAAAAGAGCAAATTGAGATGGAAAGGCAAAAACTCTCCTAAAAATTGAAAGAGTTTCAATCATGCAGCTACTCGTGGACAAATGACTTAAAACCTCATCTTCGCCGTCTTATAAGCTTACTAGAGAACGTCTTATGTCTACCATGTCGAGTTTCCTCACATTTTAAAAGAACTAGAGGTGAAGACTGTTCCGTTCCTCGGCGGGAATTGTATTTTTTTCTTTCACAAATTTTCGCCATTACCATCTCTATCACACAACGTCAGGTCTGTGTTCATCTGCCCTGTTGTATCTTTAGCATAACGTTTGTATACCGTATCTATTTTTTAATAAATTTCGACATTTCATTGTTGTTCAGACGACTTTACTCTAGAAACTCGGTCTATTTAAACTTATAATTTGGCCCCTATTCCGTTATTTTCTTCCGAAAAAGATGCATTTTCTGCGGCTTGCAACGTTTGTGCGGGATTAGAACCGATCAAACCGGTCTTCTGGAGTACAAATACTGTGAGATCTTTGCATTCGTTTTTAGCTTTATTTGTACCCTACTGAGTGCAGTTGAATAAAAAAATAGCAGTTCCAAGCAAAAAGAGAATGCTAAGGTACGTTTTTACACTAACAAAATATCAATGGAACTCTCAAATAGGCAAATATCAAATCGCCATTTCTTATATCTTCTTTGTTTTACGCCTCCTTGCCCGCTTTTCTTTTATACCCTTATAAAGAGAACCTTTGGCTAAATTCTGGGGTCGTCAGTCGAGCTATGTTTGCAAGAGCGCTTAAAGAAATAAGGAACAACGATGTGTTTGGGTATAATTTTGGCCAAGCAAGATGGCCGATTTATTGATTAAATATGACATCTTCAAACAAATTTATCTAGCTATGATTATTTGATTTTCTACGCTCTGGCAAAGGTGAGGGCGGAGAAAAAAGGCACCCAGAGTAAATAAACTACTATTGAAAAAGAGGCGGAGGAAGGGAGGAGGAGGGTCAAATTCGCAAAGCTTGTTACGTCTGGAGACCAAGAGGAAGACTTCGGGGAACACAGCTTGTCTTATACCCTAACCTTAAATGAGGTCGAGGCTAAGTACTTTTCCGGACGAGCTAGTGACTATTAGTTTTACAGCAAGTAATATTCGGGCAAGTAATTTCCCAGCTTTATAATTTCCCGGTTAGTAATTTTCCAATTGATCTCGTGATAGTCGTGTGATCAATACTTGACTATTTTGTGTCAAATTGGACCCTGCTCACAGCTCTTCCCAGCCGATTACTTATGTTAAAGTGAATGCGTGACTAGGAGTAAGTGCCCCTCTTAGCAAACTAACATAAATCATTGCGTGACTAGGTGACATAAACATTTTTATTTGCAGGCAAATAAACTCCTTTATTTTTGCGCCTTACACTGGTGGTGAGACCTACAGCCAGTACGATTCATCACCTCACAAGCCACCCAAAACAATGTTAATTTGCAGCGCGTACGTACCACAAAACCTTTCATCTTTACCATCCTGACAGTCCTTGACACTATTACATAAGCCGCTGGATGGAATACATACT